AAGATATCACATCTCCCGATTGGTGAGTATACTCGATATATGTTCACTAAGGAAGGTTCATAGGGAAACCTACCTATCTCGATGCAACTAATTCTTAGTCTAGAATCACACAATTTTTTGCATAGTTTTAAAGTACAACATTCTCCATTCATGTGGGGGATTGTTGGGATTTTTAGTGGTGTGAATGGAAATAAAAGGGGAAAGTTTCAAGAGAGTCTCTTGAAGTACCATGGTGGTAAGATGTGGGAAGGCACGACCTCGAATTCGATCGATTTGATGTAATATGTGGTTAATCGGTTAAATTGGTTTATGTACCAAACGGACCAAATCAAACCGAGTTGAACCAAATTGAACCGAACCGATGTGGCGGCTGGAATAACCTAACCGGTCCAACTACCATGGGTCGAACTGATACAATGGTTCATTATTTCAAAAATGAACCAATGTGTTGGTTGGGGGTGTAACCACCCATATGAAGAGTCGCCTCCCTTCGTACGCACCCCTTAATTTTCTATAAATAGCACCTAACCCCCTATGGTTTTTACATAGATTTTTCCAATACGAAAATTCTGCCAAAATCCAAAACTAGTTTTTTGCATTCTTTTCAAAGAGAAAATAGAGTCAAGTGTGGTTCTCGCCGGTTCGCTGCGTCGATGGTTTCCGGGGTTTGAGGTACCGCTACGCTAGAAAAGGTACGTCCTTTCTATCCTGGGAGGAATCATTCCATAACCTTGGGTACTTAAGGGGAATAAGATTCTTTAAGGAGAGATAGTGAATTCTATCGGCTAGGACGCTAGCATGTGACTTTGCATGTTTTCTTATCTTATGTGTTTGCTTGTGTTGCAAGAAAATAGTATACGTGAACAATTTCCCCAACAATAACAAAATTAAAATTGAAACAAAATGACATAAGCCTTAAGAACTGTCTCCATAAAGCATAAGGCATAAGACATAAGTATAAGGCATTATGAAATATAGCTAATGTCCTTCAAAATGAAAATGAAGTTTGATTGAACAACAAAATAACAAGATTAAGCTACTGTCTCTTGCGCACAGAAATGAAACTCCCCACCTTTGTCTATTCCCTGTTACTCTTACCCACTACGCCAAGGAGAAGGAGTGAGAAGCAGTCACTGATTTGCGGGCAAACAATAGAAGCTTCAAGCAATCAAAGAAGAAACCCAAAAACAACTAAATCACGGTTCCTTAAGTGCTTTCTCCTTTTTTTTTCCTAAGAAACCAACACCCTTTCCTTCCTTCCTCTAGCCTCGACAATGAAATTTAAATCCTAATGGGTAATACAGGTACCCAAACTACCAAACGGGTATTAGCGGGTAACCCGCAGGTACCCGATGTTGAGATTCTTAATCCCAAGTTCAATCCCGCAACAAATATAACGGGTATTTGGGTATCCGTAACACTAAAAAAAGGGATGGGTTGGGGTATACTCAAATACACGTTTCCCATTGCTAAGATCTACTCACCACGACAATGGTGAATGAATGTGTTTATGTAGTTGATGAGAAAACGTACACTAATCTTCTCTATTCTTATGTATGGATATTTTAGGGTTTGAATGAATGAATGTGTTTATCTAGTTGATTTTATTGTTGTTCTAGCCTTGATTGTGTTTGGGTAAGTCGTCCTAATCTTCTCTATTATCCTACTTTATGCTTCTACGCTTGGTATGAAGTTGTAGGGTTACACATGTATGCGCCATCAAGCAAATTGAGATTAGATGTATGAATAGGGACCTATGGTGGTCACTGGTCGAGGTGATTGAACCCCTGTCATAGTTAGCCTTCATAGATAGAACCCGAGAAGAAACCTCGGTGTGGACGGTGGGTAGTACCCATTGAAAGGAGCTACGGGCTTAATGCCCCAGATACGATAGCCTAGATCGAGGTGACTATATAGGGTAGGCGTACTCGGAGGCGTGTGGATAATCACGAAAGCCCATGGAAAAGAGCTCACCCATCACATTTAATAAACGCTAAGTACTTTAACATTACATAATAGCCCTAGGCTAGGGTTAGGGATAGTACCTCGAAGTACCTCTTCTCATCTATCAATCTTTAGTTTAGGAATTGTCAACTACCCACCTGCCAAACAACAGGTTGACTAGATAACGATCGAGCCTAAGTAGCCTAAGCCTAGGATATCGTGAGCCTTGGAATACGACCAACCCGCTTTACTACATCCCTAGCCAGGTTATACATGGCCTTGTTAGGATTGACTAGTAAGTGCGCTTCGACTCTACAGATTTAAAGCTCGATCGAAGCAGCGATCAATTGTCTTTCTCGAAAATGTCATGTATTATCCCCCCCCCCCCCCCCCGAGTCCCCATCTTTGTTTGATACTTCCTTGAGTTTACCATCCTTTTCGACACTATTGATTATGCTAACCCGCCTCCTACCCCATTGCCCTTGGCTGATCCGCCCGCCTCACCAGCCTCGACTTCAACTTCATCTTCCTTTCTAGCTTTGAATCCGCCAGCTTCACCTATACCGGAGGATGTTGCTCTTCTGATTCGCCGTTCCATGCGCACCATGTTTGGCCAACCACCTTCTCGGCTTCGAGATTATGTCTCTTATCAGGTCGAGTCTATTTCAGTTCCCACTCCTATTCACAAGAACACAGTAACCCTCACTAGGAAGGAGCCATGGATGAAGAAATATATGCACTTCATACTAATTATACGTGGGATCTCGTACCAGTTACCACGACCTCCTTCGGCCATTCTGGTTATTAGTTCTCGCTGGGTATACACATTGAAAATGAGATCGGATGGATCCTTGGAACGATACAAGGCTCACGTAGTTTCTCAAGGTTTCAGTCAAGAGTATGGCATCAATTTTGAAAAAACTTTTACTCCTATTGCAAAGATGGTGAGTGTTCGTACTCTTCTTGCTGTCGCTTCTCTTCGTGATTAGCCGTTGTATCAACTTGACGTGATGAATGCCTTTCTTTATGGCGAGCCGAAGGAAACTGTGTACATAGAGTGTCCCCCAGGATACAAACTGGGAACCAAAGATCAAGTTTGTCTCCTTTGTTGGTTATGAGTTGAAACAGGCTCCTGGTTTGACAATTTTCATTCTACTACATTGGCTTTGGGTTTTTAACAAAGCTCGAATGATCACTCCTTTTTTACTCGTGTGACTTATCGCGGACTTGTAGTTTTAATTATTTATGTTGACGATATGATATTGTCTGGTGATGATGATGAGGGCATTGCCTCGTTGACTGTGGGTCTTCATTAGTCGTTTTGGTTAAAGGAATTAGGTTACTTATCCTTTTATTTGGGACTCGAGTTTATTCGCTCTCGTGTGGGTATTCTTCTTTTCTAGTCCAAGTACATTTATGACTTGCTTGATTCTGCTCACTTTACTGATTATGTGTCTGTATCTACTACCATGGAATTGAATATGAAGTTGGGGAGGGATTTAGGCACGTTGCTTTCTAATAAGAGTGGTAAGTAGTATCGCAGTCTTGCTGTAAGTCTCATTTATCTAGCCTCTATTTGGCTCGACATTGCGTATGCATTTCAGATTGTTAGTCAGTTTATGGCTGCTCCTCGTAGTGCCCATCTCGATGTTATTCACTAATTCTTCGGTACTTGCAGGGTACTAGAGATGTCAGGTTGTTTTTATCGGCGTCTGATCCTCTGGTTCTTCAAGCCTTTTTTTACTAAGAGTATGTTGGTTTTGTTGATACTCGTCGTTCCACAACTGATTGGTGTATTCGTTTTGGAGGCTCCATCATTTTCTTGGCAGTGTAAGAAGCATGATCATGTTTCTAAATCTTCTACAGAGGCTAAGTACCGCACTATGTCGGATGTGACTTCAGAACTCGAGTGGCTACATCGGTTGCTTGGTGACTTGGGTGTCACATGTGCTGTGCCTATGGAGTTGTATGTGGATAACACTCGTGCCATCCGTATTGCTTCAAATTCGGCTACGCATGATTGTACCAAGCACATTGAAGTCCACGTTCATTACATTCGTGATTTGGGTTGAGAAGGGACTATTCAGGTATTCTACATTACATCTGGAGACCAACTTGCTAATTTGTTCACTAAAGCCTTTACAGCTAGCCAACACTCGTATCTATATGGCTAATTGATGTTGCGTAACCCCCATCAATTTGTGGGAGGGTGTTAAAATACGTTGCACGTGTGTCTCACGGATTGGGGTCATTCCTAGGCCTCAAGTTTGTTTTCGTGTATTAGTGTAGGAGTTGGTCTCCTTAGTTGTATTGGCTAGGGATACTTGTTAGGTTTTCTGTCACTGTAAATATGTTTGTGTGGAGATTGTACGGAACATACGATTATAAAAGATCTCACCGCTTCGGGTGTGGACTAGACTCGTTCATCCTGAATGAGGAAACCACTTAAATTTTGTGTCGTTTCTGCTTCATAGAACTAACATACCCAAGACATTTTCTTAGCGTGAAAATCACGAATATAAGCTTTTGGAACATCGATGCTATCAACTTTTTTAGTATTTTAGAAAATTCGTGAAAATAACAATACCACAATCGATTTTGGATACGCATTCAAACTCGATTTCGTAGATGCTACCATAGTTGTCATGAAACTAGTTGGAATGCCACTGACATGATGTTGCAGTCAATTTCGGTCAAATCCCGGTATACCAGGGGTTCAACCGAAAGTCTAACTTTTTCGGTCTCTTACTTTTTACGCCGTCGTTTTTGTTCATCTTCCACATACAAAAATTGTTGAGAGAAAAAAAGTGGTTCGGTTTTGCGATTCACCACTAGGTCTCTTATATCGTTCAACAACTAGCTCCTGTCATCTGCACATTTCTCTTTCTCCTCTATCGATTCACTTGTGAAACCGGGGCACCGTAAACCGGTTCGACAACTTTGAATGCTACCAAACCTTACACATCTTGGTGCGTGTAGTCTGTTATTATGCAGCCATGCAGGCGATGGAGGGGACAAAAAGTGGAAAACTGGAAGCTGAAACTGAAATCATCCCGCTCTACTGAAATGCATTTGGCCATCAAATATTTTTGAACCCCCGCCCATTCGTCTTTTCTTTCCCGATAGTTGGATCCCGCCCTAATTTTCCAGTTCTAATTCCCCCCGCCCCACCCCCAAATCTGAAATCTTACCTCTCTCTCTCTCTCTCTCTCTCTCTCTCTCTCTTCCCAATCCCTAATCTCTCTGCATCTCGCAACTCAAACCTCCCCCGCATAAACTCGCGCACAAACACTTTGCTACCCCGATAGTCAAAATTCCACACTTTTTCGCGATCTTAAAAAAAAAAACCTAACTTCCTCTTAGGGTTTTAGTTATTTGTTCTTCTAATTCCTGTGATTTCTCCTCTTACCAAGTGACTCTGCTTCTCTGATTCGGGACTGCGGTCCATGGCGAGCGAAACCCTAGAGGAGAAAAAGCCGGATCAGGAAGCCCCGGTAGAGAGCAAGGAGGATTCCCCGCCCAAACTAGTGGAAGAGAAAGTCGACGAGGGTATGAAAGAGGAGCAGGAAGAAGACGATGCCGCGATGAAAGAAAAGCCTGAGGAAGTGGAAGGAAAACAGGCTGAAGAGAGCGTAATTAAGGAAGAGGAGAAACAGAAGGAAAACGACAAGGAAGAGGAGAATCAAGAAGAGAAGGTGGAGCAACCGATTCAAGAGAACAAGGAGGACCAAAATTCCGAAGTTCCCCATGTAAAAGCTGACAAGGGGAACGACGATGAGCCAGCAGAGGAAGATGGCATAGACCGAAAGGAGGAGGCGGAGGATGAGGACGCCGAGGTTGACAAGGAGGAGGACGTTGAAGATGAAGAAGCAGAGGGTAAGAAAAGTAATCAAGGTGAAAAGAACACTTCCGAAGCCAGCGAGGAGAAGCAGAGTAAGGAACCCACTGATAAGAAAGAAGCTGTGACCCCAAGCAATGAGAGGCCAACCAGGGAGCGGAAGATGGTTGAAAGATACTCTATTCCTGAACGAGGCAGGTCTTCTGCTAGTAAGCCATTGTCAATTGAGAAGGTGCAAATCCCATTCTGCCTTTAACTCTTGTGGGGTGTTCATTGATTTGTGACTTCGCTTCGTGCAATGGTATGATGAAAGTGTTGCTCTTTGTGCTATGCAGGGCCGGGGGACACCTCTGAAAGATATTCCTAATGGTAAGTGTTACTGCCAGTTGTTTTTTTAGTTTGTCAGACTATTTGAACTGCTTTCAAGTGAGTGAGATCCATATGTGAAATTCTTAAATGTGACTGTTTTGGAGTCATGCCAGTTGCATCTCTCTTTGGATGTATTGATTCTTATTCCGGTGGTTGATGTCTGCTAGTCCAGAATTGCACCAAGGGCAGGCTTTTCAAATCTCTGTGATTGATATGTATTAATGGCGGGGGTGCCAGCACCATTTCTAGTGGTCTCAAGTAACTAGATTTGCTGATGATAGACATGTTCTTCTTGCTCATTTGTGGCTGTGGTAAACTAGAATGAAGGTTGGTTGGTAGTCAGAGTATGTTGATGTCTGGATTTACCAGTATTTGCACTGTAATTGTCTAAGTCCGTCATATTTATCTGGTTTTATCCATACTTTAGAGGGTAGTGAATAAGTGTCAATGCTTATCCGGTTTGACTTCTGACATTTGTCGTAGAAGAGAAGTCTAATGAACTAATCTTCTCTCTTTGAACCAGATATGTTTTAATTGGAGCTCGTGTTGCTTTGGTGTTTGTTCCTTTTTCTTATTTTAGATGTATGTTACTGCAATCACGCACTTCTATATAGCTGAAGAGTTTGGGATGCCATTTTCTTATTCATGAAGAACTTTTATTTTTTGCTTAGTTGTTTGATGATGATTTATTGGCTGGTAATATCCACTCTTTATCAAACTGTTTCAGTGGCCTTCAAGTTGTCCAAGAGAAAAGCTGACGAGACTCTGCAGATCCTTCACACTTTACTATTTGGAAAGAAAGGAAAGGTGAGGCTGATTTAGTAGTTGGTGTCCCTGTTCTTATTTCTCTGGTTTATTAGGACTGTCAGCTATCCTTTTCTTTGGTGTTGACATTTTGTTAATTTCACTTGTTCTTAAGGTGCAAAGTATGAAGAGAAATATTGGTCGGTTTTCTGGCTTCGTCTGGACTGGGAATGAGGTAGGCCATCGCTGAAGTTTTACATTAAACTTAAATTTTGGGATGTAATTTTCTTAATGCAAAGGACTAGTTTGAAGCTTGAAATTGATTATGATTGATGATTTCTTATTCTCAAAATAGGAAAAACAGAAGTCAAAAGTTAAGGAGAAGCTTGACAAGTGTGTAAAAGAAAAGCTTATAGATTTCTGTGATGTGCTCAATATTCAAGTAACTAAAGCCACGATGAAAAAGGTCAGTTGGGACTGGTAATGTTAATGTTTTCTTTTGGGTATCTATAAATTCATTGGTTGTCTGGAAATATTTTCAGGAAGAACTCACTGTAAAAATCATGGACTTCTTGGAATCCCCACATGCTACAACTGATGTTTTGCTTGCTGATAAGGAACAGGTATCCCTTTCTTAGAGTCATTTGCCTGATGTTATACCTAGTTTGGGTTGCTTTTCCTCTGGTAATAGTTGCTATCCTATGCTCTGTTCCAGAAAGGTAAGAAGCGAAGGTCAATAACTGGGAAGAACTCAAATCCTGGTGAAGCATCAGCTAAGGTTAGTTTGTCTACCGTTAATGGAGAACTTGGTATGTCGTAACTGTTTAATGGGTTCGTCTTTGCAGTAATTAATAATCTTGGTACCACTTACTGGTAGCAGCAGTAACAATTCTCTAACCAAAAGGTTGCTTCCTTTCTCTAGCGTGCAGGATTTGGTGTTCTTTCTGATTCCATCTTTCACTTTTCTTGCATGAGCATATACACTAATTTACATGGGCGCACAACTTATTAATGGTTGAATGTTGTATGGTTCAACTAGGATTGGCACCACCATTCTATTGAAACTTCCTAGGCTGAGAGCACTCTTATTTGCATCTTATCTGTTGATGTATCCTCAGAAAACTGTATGCATTTTTAATAATCGATGATGCCCTTTGGATGTCAATAGTTCATTCATGGTCTGCAGTAGTCTTTCAATTGGAGGATTATTTTGGCTTTTCTTATTTATGACAGTTCTGTCTATCCATTTTTTGTCCTGTAGAGGCAAAAACAGTCATCTCAGGCTGAGGAAAAGCAAAAACCCTCTCCCAAAGTTGAGGAAGAAGATGAGGATGATGATAAAGATGAATCTGCAGATGCTCATGAGGATTCTCAAGGTGATGATGATAACGATGAGACTCTTCCCAAAGATGAAAGTGATCAGGATGAGGATAAATCGGACGAAGATGAACCAAAGAAAGAAACACCAATTCAAAAGTCTTCATCAAGAAAGAGTGCAAAGGATGCTCCAAAAAGCAGGGAGAAAGCTACACCTGGTAAGAGCAGCACCGCTGCAAAAAGTCTGCCAAGACCGAAGAAGTCAACTACTCAGTCAGCTAAACCAAGTGCAGATACTGATGCAGGGTCTGGTTCAGTTTTGAAATCCAAAGGGTCTACATCTAGGAAACGCAAGGCTGAAGAACAAGATGTTTCGAAAAAGGAAAATAGTTCGAAAAAGCAGTCAGGCAAATCAACTTCAAAAGCTTCTACAAAAGATCAAGGTGGGTTTGTCTGATGTTGGGTTTGATAATAAGCAGGAATGAGCTTCTCATTATGATTTTTTTCTGAGTACTGATAATTGTTAGTAAAGAGAAAATGATCTGCTTCTCTTGCTGTTTTTTTTGGTGGCAAAGCTTATTTTGCTCTTTGGTCTTTGCATTCATCGATTTTGATTGCCTGGATATTTTTCTGCTCGTAAAATAGGGAAAGGAAAATCTGGCAAGAAGGCCAAGGCTGAACCCACCAGGGATGAGTTGCACGCAGTTGTTGTTGATATCCTGAAAGAAGTTGATTTCAATACAATGAGTAATTTTTGCCACTCAGTATCCAGTTACTAATTGGTATTTTCCAGCATGAAATTGTGCCTAAAATCCTCTCTTTTGCTGAAACTGTGCAGGCAACTTTGTCTGATATACTCAAGCAACTTGGTATGATCACCTTGTTCCCATTGCAAGCTGTAATGTCATTTTATCCTTTTATCACTCTCCTAACCACCCAGGTTATTCTTTATGGCTGTATCAGGTAAACACTTTGATGTGGATCTAATGCACAGAAAAGCTGAGGTGAAGGATGTTATAACTGAAGTTATAAATAACATGTCCGATGAGGAAGATGAAGGTGACGAGAATGCTGAAGCTGGCGGGGATGCGGACAAAGATGATGACGTTGATGATTAATTAGGGCTTACATAGGAATTTCCCTCTGGATGACAAATGTCATGGAGCAATTTAAACAAGAGAAGCGAAGGAAAAAACCACTGTTGACATTTCAACATCAGAACATATCTCCCCAAGAAAACGTAGCCAACTAGGGTTGTTTGTACCATATCCTAATTTGTAACTTCTTTCTTGAACAAGCGGTGTTGAGCTGACATTAACTTGATAGTTCTGCCTGACCAGCTCTCCTGCTTCCTTACCCCCTTTCTGTAATTGCCTTTTCCTTACTTTTCACTTGTTAGATATAGAGCTCCGAAACAGGTGTTATTTTAACTTATGTGCATTCGTAGCTGTTTGAAGCAGTTGTAGCTTTCTGTAATTTTGAAGCTTTGTTGGTATATTCGTGGACCTAGTTGATTTAGCTTGTGAGTGATTGTGAATTGGTTCTCTTTTGTTTACCGTCTTATAGGCTTAAATTTTTTGGTGTGGCTGAATGGTCCTCTGCCGTGCAACGATTCTGTACACACTTTTGTTCTCAAGTCCAAAAGCGGCAAAATTAGGGATTTTTGCTCTAAAATGTCATATAATATTGAGGGACATAGCAGATGTCCTAGATTAGTCATATAAACTCGTAAACAAATGAAATCGATTCTTTTGAGAAGTTGAGGTGGGCGGCTGAACTTTTTTGTCCCCAAGTCCAAAAGTCACGAAATCAGAAATTCATGCGCTAGATGTCAGTGTTGATGGACTTTTCATGACACGTGAAAAGTACTCGACTCGACCCTAATATTATGACCAGAACTTTATGGTTTTCATACATTTATCGTCCTAATATCTAGGATTTGCTATGTGAACATTCAAATGTATTCTAGTAGACTACTTGCTTTTATCAAATGGATGCACTCTTGCCTCGTGGTAGTTTTTTTTTGTGTATTTTCAGGGCATAGCAACCTAACTACCACTTTGTACAAGTTGGGGAACATCAAGACTCGACTACTAGGAGCCAGAAGTGAAAAATGAAAAGAGGACAAAAAATGACTATGGATTTAGCAGCTTAATCACCAAAACGACGCTCGGGCTGCCGTTTTGAGACTCATCCAAAAAATCACCAGAATCTTCAGAGGATATACCTTTCGTGGTGAACAAGTTGGAAGATATTAATTTGGAATCATAGACGTGTTAGATGACCGTCCTCTCTCCCCTAAAACCCTATTAGAAAGTATATATTTAGAATTCAAGGAGGGAGGAGCTCGGTAGCAGTGATAGGAGGCATTAGAGGGTTGTTGCTTGCCGACAAAGTGACTCACCAAACTTAGAGTGAAATTAGCTACGAAGGCCAAATCGGTGCCAAAATTGGCGGCCTAGTCCCCAATTTCTCTGTTCTGGCCATCAATTTGGGCTTCAAAATTATGGCCTAATCTCTATTATGGCTGCCGTTTTGGAGGGTATTTTGGGGGATCTCGTGTTGATTGATGTTACCCTTGAAACTTGCCCCATGGTCGGCTAGTTCCCTTAGTTGCGTAGGTAGGCGAAACTTAGAGGTTCCAGACTATGTAATCTTTGATTTTGGCATATATATATATGATTAGTTAATTCCTTTATCTCTCTGCTTGTTCTTTCGTTGGGTTTATTGTTGATTTGATTGCGTGCTTAACAAGTGGACTGACTTCAATTGTCATATCCTCAAACCTGACTTGTGGGCGGATTAGACTGGACACGATGTTCCCTCAGGATCAATCCTCAATTGATCAAACTATGTTGACTTCCTCAGAAAAGACATTGTAGGGTCCTAATATCGTTGCCTACCGGACTTGGCATTGATAATTGGGTATTTATACATGTTTGCAACTCTAATTATTTATTTTTTTACTTAGTTTTTGGCATTCCTAGGCCTATTTTATACTAGGTCGTGTTCATTTGTCATATTTCAAGTTCTAGGATGTGAAGAAAGGCATAAACGCAAGTTTCAGGTCAAACCGACTTAGGTAGTGAGCTAGAAGGCGAAACACAACCATGTTTCCCCCTTCCCAGACCGTGCTTTTGGAGTAAAGAAATATAACACCCTACCCTATACATTTTGCCTAATCATATTGTTCATACAATTGCAGCGGAATTAATCTCGGGCGTTACATTAATTATCAAAATTTACCCAAATAAAATTTCGACATGAATTACTCGCGTAATGGGCTAACAGTTCTTGCAACTAAAACCTGCAAAATAATTCATCACAAACATATATACTCACAACCATATGCATTGGCTTTTCATAGCCATAGTCACAGTTTCATACTACACAACTGCATACCATACTAATACAAGCCATAATCGTCACAACTTACACCACCACACACATATACACATATAATCAACTTTCCACACCTGTGGATATCTCACACTACAACAGAAACTAGTATGCACATGAAAAACGTTCTCAAAACATTTTTACAGAAAGGTGTGGATCACTGGCCAAAATCCCAAGTAGTCGTCCAAGCACAGAATAGTTGAAGACCATACCTCATCTTGGCTTCAACTCTAGCTCCTCTCCCACTTAACACTTATCTACTGCTGCTGATGATCTGCTTACACATAGCATAAGCAGAGAAGAAGAATAAAAGAGGGTCAGCTCATAGCTGAGTGAGATAATCATAGCATCGTGAGTTCATAACATAGCATACCCCTATCATACATCAAACAATCAAGCCAAAACACTAGGATCGGACCTCAGCCATCCTCATATCCCAATAGACAAAAGACTCAACCACCTTGACTTATGCATATGCATCTTATCATGTTTTACTTATAGGCGCCTGGCTACTCCCATGCTAATAACTCTCCCGGGAAACATACCCCACATCCCGTCGGATGTAGTCATACATACCCCAACATCCCGTCGGATGTGGTCATACATACCCCACACCACTATGGGTGTAGTCATACCCCGACACCGCTCTGGGTGTGGTCATATCTCGTAAGAATTCTTCAGTCACCACCACATGAGAGGTGTGACTATCATACATATCATAATAGAGTAATAGCATAGGGAGCCCTAATTACTATGTAGTTGACCGTGAGACCACAACACTCATATTTGGTATCCTTGTACATGATTCATATCTCATCTTGCTTAATCATAATTCATTACTTACACATGTACTTGACCTGACCATAATTGGCTCAACATAGGTAAACCAGGAGTCGTATAATTGCACTTCCTCGGGATAAACCCTCGTGCAAGTCATCCTCCTTAAACATCATAATATCACCCTGGGAAGTTTATTCCCTCACTTATGGATCCAAATACAACCATAATATCACATCATGTCAAAACATCTGATCGAACAACCATGAAGTCATATCAACAGTTAAGCCACAAATGGCAACATGTAAGCAATCATCAACATAAACAAGGTCCATATCGATTAGGGCAAGTCAATAATATCCCACAGCAGTCCAGGGTTCAACATATAGCACAAAAGTTCATACACCCCTAATCATGCCATTCTAGTTCACCTAGGTCAATTCTAAGCATCAATATAATTATCGTGATACGACAAACCCGGTATGCCGTGCTAATCCCTCACAGTTCTGGTCGTTCAAACATCGGTTTAACCTTCCCGTACTAAAACGTCAATTTCACGAACGAATCCCGAATTAAAATCCGAGACCGTCCTAATATCCCCTGCAGTATCCCGATCAATATTAGTTCTAGGCTCCGGGTCAAATTCTCGATAAAAACACATCAAACCCTGGCCGGAGCTAAATTCAGCGATCCCGGCTCCGATCTAAATAATAGCCGAAATTCAGGGATTAGAACTAGGGGATTGATTACCTCGCGGCAGGAAGCTCGTATATGAAATTTGGGCTCAATCCGGCTTCCGGATACTCCAAAACCCTAATTTGGCTTATCGGGAATTCAAGAAATTCCTGAACCAAAAACTCGTTTTAAAGCTCTAAATCGATAAATCACGATTTATGGATGAATTAGGCATTACTTACGGGATTTTTGGATCACTAGGGCTCAAGATTGGAGCTTTGGAAATTCTCCCCGAGCTCCCCTGTACGCTCTCTGTTCCTCTGCTTCTCTCGCGGAAAATGAAAAGAAGAGGTGGAATGGTTTCTGGAGAGTTGAGATGGGGAGGGAATTAAATGTCATATATATATATATATAATTAATACGTATACTTATCCGATCGATCGATATTCCGATTTTCGTCAAAATAGTGTCGAAATGCTCGATTTTAAATCGTGAAATTTTCTAGCGATCGAAATATGGGTTTAGCCGAAATGAGATGTTACAATTCTCCCCTCCTTAAAAGATTTCGTCCCCGAAATCTAACCTTGAGTCGTACTCTTAGTCCGCTTACTTACCCTTGACATGGTCTATCGTAGATAAACCATTACCTAACTCTCAGGTTAGGCGATTCATAACATAGAAAGTAACACATAACACCTCAAGTTCCCATGTTTAGGTTTCAAAACCTATACTGGGCTATCACAACAAAAGCACATCAGCAAGTTCAAAGCATAACTTACTAAGCAAGATTGTTAACCTGCAAAGTATGTTGCTACCAACTCAGGGTACTTCTCTCGCATACTTGCTTCAGTTTCCCAGGTAGCACTCTCACTTTCTTGATTTCTCCAAACCACTTTCAACATTGGGATTTCCTTCCTACGAAGATTTTTAATCTGGTAATCAACAATCTCAACTGGAACCTCTTCAAATGTCAAATCTGAACCCAACTCGATCTCTTCTGGTTGTATAACATGGGAAGGATCCACTTTGTACCTCTTCAGCATACTAACATGAAATACATTGTGGATTTGAGATAGTTCTGGAGGCAATGCTAACTTATAAGCCACTGGTCCAATCTTCTCTGTGATTTCATATGGCCCAATATACCGAGGTGCAAGTTTCCCTTTCTTACCAAATCTCATTACGCCTTTCCAAGGTGACACTTTGAGAAATACTTTCTCACCCACTTCGAAATTAACTTCACGCCTACTCGTGTCAACATAAACTTTCTGTCGATCTTGAGCCACCCTCAAACGCTCCCTAATTTCCTTGACCTTGTCAACTGTGATCTGAACTATCTCTGACCCTGAGATTTGCCTTGCTCCTTCTACATCCCAACATAATGGTGTTCTACACTTCCTCCCATAAAGTGCTTCATATGGTGGAACACCCAAGCTACTATGGTACTGGTTGTTGTAAGCAAACTCAATTAAGGGCAAATGGTCAATCCATGATTCCCCCATTGCATTACACATGATCGAAGTAATTCCTCCAAGGTTAGGATGGTTCGTTCACTCTGCCCATCTGTTTGAGGATGATAAGCTGAAGTAAAATGTAATTTAGTTCCCAAGGCATCATGTAAACTTTGCCAAAACCGAGATGTGAAGCTCGGGTCTCGATCAGAGACAATAGAAATTGGCACACCATGCAATCTGACGATCTCCTTAATATATAGTTGAGACAAAGT